CAAGACACCAAATTGATCCCTCTTCCTGACAACACCCAAAAGATAACTGGGGTCCTTACTTCCCTAAAGCCTTAGCATCAGCCAACACAAGCCCAAATCCACACTAAGCACCGCCTTTCTCCTCCTCACAACTCCATAGGTAGACATTTTTTTCTTGCTATGAGTTAAATAAAACTCATTTTGTTTGATGCCAGCCACAGTCCACCCTTCAAAGCAATTTTGAACTCTTTTTCTGGAATGACCATCAGAGCTGTTGTCATATTACCCTTGATGTCCTGAATGTCATCAAAATGCCTTCCTTTCAATATTTCCTTTATCTTTGGGTAAAGAAAGAAGTCATTGGGGGCCAGATAGGCGAGTAGGGAGGGTGTTCCAATACAGTTGTTTACTGGCCAAAAACTCTCTCACAGACAGTGCCGTGTGAGCTAGTGCACTGTCGTGATGCAAAAGCCATGAATTGTTGGTGAAAAGTTCAGGCCGTCTAACTTTTTCACGCAGCCTTTTCAGCACTTCCAAATAGTAAACTTAGTTAACTTGTTCGTCCATTTGGTACAAATTCACAATGAATAATCCCTCTGATATTAAAAAAGGTTTGCAACATTGTTGCAATAAGTTTGCAAACTTAATTGTCACACCTTGTATGCTTTCCCTATCTAAGGCTCACCAAAACATTCACCAATCATTTATTATAAGTCTACAATGATCAATGCAATGTCCGGAACAATACTAGTTTTTGTCTTGGAGCCTTGTCAGGCTGAGTCCTCTCCAAGGAATGCCTTCCTTCCTCCTCCTCTTCTTTCCCTTGTCCATCCTAGTCAGTTTGGGAACACTCACTCATCTTTCAAGCCTCCATCCCAGAAACCTTGCTGGCTTCTTTATCACTCTACCCTCTTTAGAACTGGCCGCTCTCCCTTTGGCTGTCTCCCACTGTCCACTCAGCTGTCTTCCCTTCTCCGCCCTCCATCCACTTCCAATCTCTTTCCAGGATTCACCCTTTGTTTTCCCTCTTGAATCCATTTACTTCTTGTCTATGCAGGCTACTGACACCTGGACTGAATCATCCCCTTACTACACTCTGCCTCCACCGTCATCCTCCCTCCCATTTAGTTTTCACATAAGCAGCAGACTGATTTTTCTAAAGCACATACTGCACCATGACGCCTCTGTTTAACATTTCAAAGGGTTCCTCCTACACCCGACTCCATACTGTGATGAAATCACAGATCCTCCATGTGTGACTCTGTGATCTGTCACTGCTTCCATTCTGGTCTCCTTTCTCATCACGGTCCCGCACGGCAGCCAGGCAGCCACTCAGTTTGGCCAAGCGCTATTCTTCCTCGAAGAGTGTCTCACAAATGGGTCCCCTCTCTCTCGACTGTTCTCCCCACTCCCCACCCTTAACTCTGCCTATGGATGATTTTCTTCTCATTTTTCCAGCCTGAGTAAATGTGTCTCAGGAAGCACATCTTCTGTCCATTGATATCCATCAATTTCTTCCTTCATATACTTATCACAATTCACAACTCTATATTTAGTCACTGTCTGTCTCTCCAACTGTAAGCACCATGAAGCCATGTCTGCCTTGCTCAACACTCTACCTTGAGTGCCTGGGACAGTGCCTGGCACACAGTAGATGTTGATAAGTAGTGTATAGATAGATGAGTTCTATCCTGTATGTATTTCTATCATAGTACAACTTTATTTTCTTTCCCTGTAACTTTATTAAAATTTTTTTATCTTCATGTTTATCTACCACTAGAGCAGTGGTTCTCAAACTTTAGTAGTACATAAGGATCACCTGGGGTGATTACCATGAGTGCAGCTTCTTGGGTCTCTGACCAAGAAGAGATTCTGCCTGACTCAGTAGCTTGGGTTGGAGTTCAGGAGTCCATATTTTTATACACAGCCACCAGATGGTTCTGCAGGATGTAAGCATCACACTTAAAGGAAGAGTGTCAAACTTGAAGCCTTAAATAGGCATTGAATAAAGCATAGAAGGCAAGAAAGGAAACGGAGTCCTTTGGCTTACTTGAAACTACTGTCATTCATTTCTTCACCCAACAGCTATTTAACTAGCACCAGACTCTGCACCATTCACTGAAGCTGTGGCAGAGAAAACACGTGGTTGTTGCCTTCATGACAAGAAAATCATGACAGTATACCATGGTGTCTCCAAGAGGGACAGAGTCAGGTACCACTGCAAACTTGGCATGGTCACCTAAGTCAGACCTGGAGGGGGTACAGAGATGACCAGGGAAAGAATACTCATCATTGGAAGGTTTAACGCTAAGACCTAGGTCATCTTTCTAACCCTAATTTAAAGAGGGGCTAGGGTTGCATATAAGCTGGCAAAGAGGATAGGGCAGCATGAAAGCTCCCGTCTGCCTCACGCAAAGCCATCAGGGCCAAAACTGAGGAGTTTAGAACTTGGACACAGAGCTTGTGCTTGGGGACACACTGCCTCACAGGCAGGTCATATTTTATGGCTGCAGTCTAGGCAGACCCTGCAGTGAGAGCCCATGCTCACTGAACTCATTGTTTCCAGATGGCACATCAAGGGTGGGCCTGGGTTAGTGAGCGTACCCTTGGGTTTCGACATCTTTGCCACAGTCTCATGATTTAGTACTCCTTGAAAAGGACCACATGACGGGCTTTAACCCTGAAGAACTCAAGAACAGGAAGTGAATTAAGTCTTCTGTTCACTAACATTTGTCTCCTTTCATTTTGTAAAAGAAATGAAATGGCCTTAAAATAAAACTCTATGACTACATGGCAAATCACTAAAAATTCCCATTCAAGGACATTAAGCACTTTCAGGGATTTAATCAAAGGAAAAAAAGAAAAGTTTCTTTTCTCCAGTGATTTAACAGAGGGGTAGTTTCCATTTGTCCCCTGTTTTCTCCCACATCACAGCTGGCATCAACCCCCTTCCTTCTGCTACTTCCTTTCTTTCCACCCCTCTCCGAGCATCTCTTCTTCTGCGCACCCATCTTCCAGGGGCCTGATGGGACGGGGGATGGCAAAACACAGCACTTCCCTCTCTCACACTGTTCAGCTTAGGGATGACTCACCTGCCTAGGCTCCACAAGCATTTTATTCTGTAATAAGAGATTGGAAATACTTCCCTTCTCTCCATCCCAAAGACAAGTTGTTATTTACTCAAATAGTAGGATCTCTGAGGCCAGGAGGAAACAGTACCTGTTTAAATTGCCATGAGGGTATCCACAACTGAACTGGAAAGAGACACCTGTATTCAAGGTATTTGATGTCCCAGGAGGAGGAAAGAAATAGCCCATTCTCTGCTCTGGGGCTCACCTCCATTGAAGGTTTATCTTTCCACCCCAATTCTCACCATGTATCACCTCAAAATACCCATAATCCCCTTTCAGCCCAGCCCAACTATATCTTAACTCTGTCGTTAAATCTGCACGGCTATTAGTACTAATAGGTCTAGATCTTGGTAATAAACATTATCAAAGCAATGGAAAAAAGTGCTCTAAAATGTGGACAAATGTTACCTCATTTTGTGATGTGGGTATACAAATAATTTTTTCTGTGCTTTTAGAAATATTTTTCAAAATTAAAAACCAATTTTAACTATGGCTGGCTAAGTCATCATTTCATCAAAGTCTTGTGAAAAGCTATAATGAGCTGAAAACTCTAGGATGAGACACATGACTTAGTAAACTCAAACTTATGTTAACAAATGCAAACACTTCCATTCATAATATTATTCAAGGCAGAAACTTTTGCTCAGTTACCTTTTAGACTAGACCATGGAAACAGGTTTGTCAAAGGAGATTTGTCAACTCACCTTGTCTACTGTTAGCCTAAATGATTACTCAAACATTTGCTCTGAATTCAACTTACATATTTTTAAAATAAATTTTGTCTCAGTAATAATTGAAGGGCACTATGAATCATGCAATAAATGGGAACTCATTCCATTTTCAACTATATTTAATGTTGTCCTTGCAACTGTAAGAGAAATAACTTTTAAGGCTACTTGAAAATCTGCAGATAAAAAATACTGATAGAAAGAACTGAATACAATATATTAAGAAAATAAAGAATCAAGTTTCAAAGAAGGTTTAGAAATCCTGATCTGAAGTGGATAGGAGATCACATATTCCGTTTTGAAGACACATCTAATGAAGGGGTCTTTTAGGTCAGCATTTACTTTTTCTTCCTTCACTTTATAATGGAAAACTTCAAGCATAAAAATGTAGACAGACTAGCATAATGAACTCCTATGTATCCATCATCCAAACTCAACAATTACGAACTCATGGCCTGCCTTGAATAATCTATCCAAGCCCCTCCTAATTATTTTGAAGCAAATCCTAGATATATTACTTTATCTGTAAATATTTAGACTTGTTCTCTAAAATATCAGAATTTTTTTTATTGATACAAGATTGGTATTTGTTTTGGTTTTGTGGTCTCCTCCATACACCCTCTCAAATTAGCTGTGAAATAATTCTTAAAACTAGTTGCATACAAAAAGGTTAGTCTTATTTTGTTTTAAACATGAAATGGAAAGGAATTCCTAGCTTATCATTCAACATTACTACTTGTTTTATCACATTGGCCCTAACTCTTTGGGGCCACAAGTTCAAGACCCAGCTGGATACTTTATTCCTTGATGAGAACAAGGGGAGTAATAAACTATGTGGTGGTGTAAAAAAGAAGGGGTCAAGTGCTGCCACTTTTACATTTACTGGCACTAATAAAAATGACCTCCATGAAGGAATTATGGGGGGAGCCCCACAAATCAAAGGTCTCTCAGCCTTAGCCCAGAAATAGAAATGCTTTACTTTTAAAATTGCTGCTGCTTCAGGAATGATTATTAACAGCCTTCAAAAACCAAGGACGCTGCCGCTCCCCCCCTCCCGCCCCCATCCCCAAATTGTTGTAGAAACACTAAAAGAAGGGAAAGGAAATGAAATACTGAACTTTCACTTTTAGCTGGAAGCCAAAACCAATTAGATCTCAGTTACCTTATAACGTGTTTGTTCCACATCATAGATCTTTTTCTCCGATACCATTTTTGGGGCAAAGAACTTGGCTAACTTCGCAAGGTAAACTCCATTCCGGAGCCCTTCTTCCAGTTCAGTGGTTGGTGGCAATTCTTCAACTAAACAGACTTCCATCCACCTAAAGGGATTAAGAAAAACTTTACTGTGACTCCAGTTGGGTGAGTCTATAAATGAAGAGATGCACCATCTCACTATGTGTGATGGAGACAGTAACAAAGGGAGCAGAATATGAAACATCTTCCGGTGTCACAGATGGGAAGAGAGGACTTCTTGGGTGGGATAAGGATTCAGAACATGAGATGAACAAGGGATACAAACAAGCCCAGAGGCACTGAACTCACGACCATGCCAGAGCTTGTCACCTTTGAGTCTCTGTCAATTCTTTTTTGTACCACAGGAGAAAAAGGTCAACCTATTTTGTATGGGTGGAATCAGTCCTGCTGACATTATAGAAAAAAATAATTCTAGTTTATGAGCCCTTAGGGAAGAGATTCTTGTAGAGATTATGCTTTTGAGAGAGTGTAATTCAAGGTGCTGTAAAACCTGCAGTTGCCTCAGTCCAGGAAAGGTAGGAAGGCATGGAAAAGGAACATCAAATTTCAGAAAGTAGATATGGTCTTCTTTCAATAATATGCATTCCTTTTTCTGATACCAGGAACTTCTTACAACATACTTACCTTTTCAGGAAGGTACAGTATTTACTGGGTTCTGAAAAAATATTTCAGAATAAGATTCAGATTAAATCTTGGGACCTTGAGCCAGTATTGTAGAAAAGAGCGCATCAAGGTCGTTACTGGCTCAAGGGCACACAGTGGGAGGGGAGCCAGGTCAGCTCACATTTCACACTGGTGTGCCCAGAATCTGCCAGCATTGCGAGGATAATGCCATTCCTATCCATGCTTACCTACTGTAAGATCCAAGAGGCAGGTGTGCAGGCTCTCAGTGGGGGAGTCCCCTACTTCCCTGCAACCGATCCACAAACAAATCATAAACTGTTAGGGTGAGCACCATACCTATATAGCCAGTACCCCCCAGAGGATCATTAACACAACAGCGTCTGATCCTATCAACATTTGGCAGATACTGCAGTACTGTTCTGCAATATTAACAACCGATCCTGGTCCAAGCAGCAAACACTGTAAAATGTCTGAACTGCTTGTAGCTCTGGGCAGCATCATTTAAAAGCTCAAAGAGCCCCTAATAAACAAGGAATATTTACTGACCACTTATTAGGCACTGTAAAACATGGAATATGTGAGAAAAACATAAACATCAGCCCTGCCTTCCAAGAGCATAAAATATAATTGACAAGGCAATACAACTGTAAAAAGAAACCAGAGAACCATACATGAGAAGCTATTATGTCCAACGCTATGTGTTAGTGCATAAGAAGAAAAAGTTTGGGAATAAAGAGGGGTTATTAGGTTATCACTTAGAGTAATAGGGAAAACATTGATAAGGTGGTGGGGCCTGGATTCTATCTATTTGGTTGTCGGAAAAGTCATGATGTGTTTTTGCAACGAAAAACATAGAAAAAATACATCACGACTTTTCGGACAACCCAATAGAAAAATGGAGCATTTGGAAAGGTAGGAGGAGCACTGGATCCGGGGAGCAGGGCAGACTAGAGGCATAAAGGAAACATGGCCGACTCATGGAGAACACCCAGGGAAGGCTTGGGGCCATTGGGGTTCATGGGGAGATAGGAAATGAAGCTGAGCATTACAGGGAAGTCAAGCTCTGGAGGACCTAGCACGAGAGAAGTGCTGATATTTGCTGTCACAGGAAGCGGAGCGCCTGCAGTTTCAAAGCAGAGGAGTGACATGCTAACAGTGGTAATTAGAGAAAATTAATCTTGAATGATGGATGCCCCAGAGACAAAGCGCTCTGTCAGGCTTTTCCCATTGTGTGACACTGAGGGACGAGATTAGACAGGAAGGCATGGGGAGGGGGGAAACCAGGAAACATTTCAAGGGAACAGTAGCAGGACTTGGTGATAGCTTTGAAAAGAGGGTAGAAAAAAAGAGAAATATTACCGGCCAGGGAAAGCGGCCTGGTGTGAAGGGCACTCTCTGCACCAGTACTCAGCCCCACGTCCACTGTGAAACCCCAAACACATTCCCTAACCCCTCTAACCCCTGCTAAAGGGAACAGAGTGAGAAGGATGAGATGATATCCCAGCTCTAACATCCTAGCAGGACTGTGAAACTGGAAGAACAGGAACAGGTAGGTAAAAGGAGACGATGAAGTTGGCTTTCACATATCATACACGGGGTAAAGAAGGGGTTTTTGGTTTACATGAGCCTCGTTTCAAATAAACTGAAGAGTATCATAGACTTGATCATTTTTTTTAAATTTTATTAAATTATTTTTTATTATGAAATACACATTTTTTAGAATTAGTTTCAGCTGTACAACACAGTGCAATAGTTATACTTTTTACCCCTCGAAGTGACAACCCCTCTCCCCCAATCCCGCCCCATTTCCGCCCAATATCATACATATCTATGATCATTTTTTTTAAACTTTAATAATGTTGCCTTTTTAATAAAAATCTGACCAAGTTAAAAGCCATTACGCCAGACTCAGTTTCTAATCTAAATAAATTTAGATTAGAATTACAGCATTGTGCTATTTCACATTAAAACACAATCTGTTTTTAAATAGTTATCTTAAATTTTTTTAAACATTGTTTTTCATACAATATTTAATTTCTTTATAACAATCCCGTAAGTGGGGTACATGTGTGAGGGATGGCGGAGAGGTAAGCTGACAACTGGTGGTAGGAGTGGGGGGATAAATGGACAGTTGGGAGCAATGGGTGGGAAGCTAAAATACAAAAATGACTCTGAAGTACGACATTTTAGACTCGGGCTTGCTAAGAAAAAAAGATAACCGTACTTTTTTGTCTATATTAGAATACATGTGCAGTTGGTTTAAAACACAAATGATACCAAAAACACAGGTTAGCTACAGCCTATTTAAAATACAGTCATTGCTCAAAGGCAAAAGCCGCCTCTTTACAATCTCTTGTGCCTGCTAATATGTTTATATAGAGCAGGTACCCAATAAATGTTATGAAAGATTCTGCCTGCTTAAGAAAAAATTTCCAAGCTGTACAGTTGCGTTTAAAATCTTTTAGGACATCGCCAAAGACTTGAAGATGTAGCAATTTTGCAACATTAGGCATCAATGGAGACATCTCCTTTTCACTGCCTTGAAATATCAAAAGATGATGCTATTATCATCAATGATAACCAGTGTTTATTAAGCACTATTTTGAGCTAGAGCCTGGACTTAATATTTTATGGGGACTATCACTCAATCTTCAAGGCCACCCCACAAGGAACAGGTGCTATTAGGATCACCGATTGGAGATGATAATCTGAGGCTCAGAAAAGCCCAAGGCCACACACAGTAATTGAAAAACATCAAAAAGCTGCCAGGGACTTCTGCTCCTTCTGTTCCAACTTTTAACTTCTCACAACTCACCAAACAGAAGAATGAGTCTTCCTGTCCATTCCCACAGCCTTGTGCAAAAATAAAAGTGATAACAGAACACTCCAGGCTACTTCCAGAGTAGCAGTACGAGTTCCATGGTTTGGAGAGGCACATGCTGTCACTCTTCTAGTGTCAGGTCAGAGGGTGGTACAGTCACTGTTAGAGTTGAGCAAAATTTCGGGGGTTTCATTTTTCTTTTAGAATTCCCTCCTTGTCAGTTCTTTGTCATCTACCCCTCTAGAGTAAACGGCCTGGACTGCCTGTGGGTGCTGTTGCAAGCAGTAGTTACAGGAAGCTTAGAGCCTATCCAAATGGAGTCACCTCCTGAAGAACTCCTGCAAACCTAGACAGGATCTCAAAGAGTCTTCTGATCATATACAATGTGGAAATTCCTATTAATTCTTAGTCATTATATAATCAATAAACTTACATGAGAAAGAATTACATTTCTACCACCAACTTCAGCCTCAGTGGCTTATCTGTTATACAAGCTAGTGTTACCCGGTCAAACCAATAACAACTCTAAGTGTCACTTTTGTGGTCTGTTGGGGTCAAACTTCCTAAAGCAATTACATTGTAGAGCCCACTGGCCTGCTGTTCAGGAATTCTGCCTCTGTGATCACTAACTAGGTGTACTGGACAGGTCACTTGAAATCCTAGGAACTCAGTTTCAGTCCATGAGTCTAAAACTATAATGGAATTCAACATGACATTGTAAGCATGTAATATGATATTGTTTTATTAACAGTTTTATTGAGAAATGATCCACATACCATATACTCACCCATTTAAGATGTACAGTGCATTGATTTTTAGCATATTCACAGGGTTGTGAGACCATCAGCAACATCAATTTTTGGACATTCTCATCATTCCAAAAAGAAACCCTTTACTCATTAGCAGTCATGCCCCATTTACCCCTAGATTCTCAACCCACTAAATCTATTTTTCATTCTATGGATTTGCCTATTCTGGACATTTCATATAAACAGAATCATACGATAGGTGGCCTTTTGTGACTCACTGCTTTTACTTAGCATAATGTTTTCAAGGTTCATCTACGGTGTAGGATGTATTAGTACTGCATTCTTTTTTTGCCGAATAATATTCTACCTTATGAATAAATCACATTTTATTTATTCATGTATCAGCTTATCTGGGGTTTTTCCACTTTTTTTTTACATACACATAGTATGTATAATGCTACTGAAACATTAGTATACGAGTTTTTGCATGGACATATTTCTCATTTCTCCTGGGTATATATCTAAAAGTGGAATTGCTGGGTCATAAGGTAACTCTATGTTTAAACGTTTTTAGGAACTTCCAGACTTTTTTCCAAAACAGCTGCAATATTTTGCATTCCCACCAATAGTGTATGAGGATTCTAATTTCCCCACCTCCTTGCCAACACTTAGCTGTCTTTTTGATTATAGCCATCCTAGAAGATGCAAAGTAACATCTCATTAGGGTTTTGATTTCCATTTCCCTGACAGCTAATGATGTTGAGTATCTTTTTATGTGCTTATTGACCATTTGCATATCTTCTATAGAGTAATGTCTATTCAAAGCCATTACTCATTTTTTAGTTGGGTTGTATTTTTATAATTGAGTTAT